CCAGCCCCAGCCCAGCTCCTTAGCCACACCCCCTCCAGCCACGCCCCTGGGCGGCCACGCCCTGCTCTGATCTGAGCCGGACTGTCCCTTCTTGTAAGCGTCCAGCTCTTATGTCTGTTTCCTCTCCAAGGAAAGACCTCACCGTCAGTGTTGCGCGCAGAGGGTGGGGTCTGAGGACGGATGCGGGGAGGCCACCTCGTGGTGGCACATGTGGGTCCCTTTGGTATTTTGGGTAGCGCCCCCTGGAGGCCACTTCTGTCCCTTTTACTGTAAAACTGGAGCCTTCTAAGAGGAGGCGGCATTTCTCAACTGTCATTTCCCGAGCCGCAGCTGGGTGCCAGGGGTGGGGGTGAGGTGCAGCGTCCTTCCTCTGGCTGCGGGGGAGGGGACACGGGAACTAGGCGGAGGTGGAGAGAGCAGCGTGGCTGTGGGCTGGGTGCTCCTGGGGTGGCGTGGCCCGAGGAGGCCCCCAGTGCGGGCGATGTCATCCTCGGGCCTGATAAAAGGAGGGTAGGAAGGGTGTTTCAGGCCGGGGGCACCGTGGAGACAGGGAGGGTGGGATGGTGGCGTGTCCGAGAACAAAGACAGGCTCAGGGGTTGGGGCTTCTGTGTTACCAGTGCCACCTCTGTGTGCTCAGTGCACGGGCCTGTCATCCCAGCAGCTCGGGAGGCTGAGGCCGGAGGATTGAAAGCTGGAGGCCAGCCTCAGCAACTTGGCAAGGCCCTAAGTGACTCAGTGCGACCCTGTCTCTAAATAAAAAGTAGAAAGGGCTGGGGACGGGGCTCAGTGGTCAAGCACCTCGGGTTCAATCTCCGGTACCAAAAGTCGAAAAGCATCCACGCAGGACCTCATCTAAGAGGTGTAAGCTGTTGTCACCATGTGCTTACGACAGGACCTGGAACCCCGGGGCAGCTCGGTAAATGAGCTCATGCCATCRCACTCTGGGGACACGGGCCACGCTAGTGACAGGGCTCTGTCAGCTTCCTGCAGCGACCTTTGAGCCATCCGGCATCCTGAGGGCAGAGCTGGGTGGGCTGGGTGCTGGGCATGCGGGGCAGGGGCTGCCCTTCACCCCCGGCCTCTGTGTGCCAGACGTGGACGAGTGTGCGACGGGCACCCACAACTGCCAGGCGGGCTTCTCGTGCCAGAACACCAGGGGCTCCTTCTACTGCCAGGTGCGGCAGCGCTGCATGGAGGGCTTCCTGCAGGACCCCGAGGGCAACTGCGTGGGTGAGTGGGCACGGCTCAGTGGGGTCCCCTCCTTGGGCTCCTCGGGAGGTGGCATCCATCTCCAAGCGCTGTATTTCGGGCACTGGAGATTGAACTAGGGACACTCGACCCTGAGCCCCGTCCCCAGCCCTTTTTATGTTTTATTTAGAGACAGGGTCTCCCTGAGTTGCTTAGGGCCTAAGTTGCTGAGGCTGGCCTCCACCTTGCGATCCTCCTGCCTCAGCCTCCTAAGCCCCTGGGATCACAGGTGGGCCTCACTGCACCTGTCTGCTCCCAGCCCTTTTGAGACCAGGTGGACCTGGCTTGCGGCTCTGTCACAGCCTCTGTCTCCACCTGCGATGGGCGTGCCCAGTGGCCAGCCCCAGGAGATGCTTGCAAAATTCTACCTGCCCTCCCCACCTGAGTCGTCTCACCTTGGCAGTTACTTGTCCTGTGGCCTCGGTTTCCCCATTAGTGGGGTTGGACTGGAAGAATGCATATCAAGTACTTTTTAACCTGGCCGGTGACATCTGATACGGTGACCTGGTACAGACACACGCAGAGGGAAACAGAACACCGGTTTCACAGCACAGCCCCACGGAAAACTTGGGTCCTGGCATAGTGGTACACTAATCCGGCAGCTCAGGAGGCTGACATAGGAGGCTCGCAAGTTGGAGGCCAGCCTCAGCAACTCAGCCAGACCTGTGTGTAAATAAAATCCAAGATGGGGATGGGGGTGTGGCTCAGTGGTTGAGGGCCCCGGGTTCAGTCCCCAGCACCCAAACCAAACAAGTGCTAGTGAGACCTTCTAGAATAATCCCAAGGATTGAGAGCTACAGTTTGATGGATGCTGGGCCAGTTGTTGTCCCCAAGAGGTTCTGAAGGCCCACACTGCCCCCACCCATCATYGTCCCCTTCCAAGAAGCCGCTGGTCAGCCACAGAGCCAGAAGGTCCCAGCTCCCCAGAAGCTGTGGGCCTGCTCCCTTGGAGGTAGAAGCTCAGCTTCTTGTAGGAGGGACACTCAAGGCCACATTCAGTCTTGGGAATGAGCTGTGCAGAGGGACAGGGGAAGGACAGGTGCTGTGCAGAAGTCTGGTCTCCCTAGACTGGTCCTGAAGGTTGTCCCGTGGAGATGACATCAGGAAGTACACAGTTCAGCTAGAGAAATATTAGAGGTCCGCGTAGGCCGGGAAACAGGCAGCGTGTGCAAAGGCCCTGTGGTGGGGCTGTGCCTGCATGCTGTAGCTTTGTAGAGGACTGGGGCTGGGAGAAGGGGGGACAGGCCAGGCCCATGGGCCCCAAAGCCCTCTCCACCCCTGCCTTGGAGTCTGGGACCGGCCACTTCCCAGTGCAGCCCTGGGCTCCGGGGAAGGCCCCTGCCAGGCCCCGTGTCACCCACCCTCCTTCTGCAGACATCAACGAGTGCACGTCGCTGCCCGAGCCCTGCCGCTCGGGCTTCAGCTGCGTCAACACCGTGGGCTCCTACACGTGCCAGAGGAACCCGCTGGTCTGCCGGCGCGGCTACCACGCCAACCAGGACGGGACGGCCTGTGTGGGTAAGCCGCCAGCCTCCCTGCCTCCTGGCCTCCGGGCCTCCGCCTGACCAGGGTTCCCGGCCACAGGAGGCCGGCAGAGGGAGCGGGACTCAGCTGCTGCCCCCCCCACTGTCCTCCCCAGACGTGGACGAGTGTGAGACCGGGCTGCACCACTGCGGGGACACACAGGTGTGCCACAACCTCCCCGGGTCCCACCGCTGCGACTGCAAGCCAGGCTTCCAGAGGGACGCCTTCGGCCGCTCCTGCGTCGGTAGGTGGGGCGCGCCCTCTGGGGTCCCTCGGGGTCCCCGCAGCCAGGGTGGTGCCCGCCGCCCCTCCTGGAGGCCAGCCTTCCCCTGCCCCTTCTGTACCCAGGGGGACCCAGGTGCGGGGTGGCCTCCCACGCCCGCTGCCGCTGTCCCCGCAGACGTGAACGAGTGCTGGGCGTCCCCGGGCCGCCTGTGCCAGCACACGTGCGAGAACACGCTGGGCTCCTACCGCTGCGCMTGCGCCTCGGGCTTCCTGCTGGCCGCCGACGGCAGGCACTGCGAAGGTACCCACCCGCCTGCCTGGCCCTGGTGGCCCTTTCCCTGGCTCCCCAGAAGCCCCAGGTGCCCGTGTTTGTGGGGTCGGTTTGAACGGCCCTGGGTGGACTTCGACTCTTTTGTTTTTTTTTGTATCGGGTCACATCCAGGGGTGCCTGACCCCTGAGCCCCGTCCCCAGCCCTTTTTATATATTATTTAGAGACAGGGTCTCCCTGAGYTGCTTAGGGCCTCGCTGAATGGCTGAGGCTGGCCTCCACCTTGCGATCCTCCTGCCTCAGCCTCCCAGCCCCGGGGATCACACACACGCACCACTGCGCCCGGCTCCCTGGCTCCTTTTGACACAGTGACTGTTGGACTTGCTTGTCACTTTGCCCCTGTGCTGTTCTGTGTGTGCGTGTGACCTCCTTCACTTAGGGACTTGTCTGTCTGGCTCATGGGTATGTCCCCAGGTGCGCCCCTTAGCACGGACCTGGCGGCCCTTATGGAGGCCTGTGTCAGCACCCGGGTGGCCACACCCCCAGAGCCGCGTGGGGACAGCACCAGGCCCCCAAGCACTGGCCTGACCTGTGACTACCCCGCTGGGGACAGCCCCACTCCTGCCCTGCCCCTGGCCCCTGCCTGGCTCCCCATCCTCCTCCTGGCCTCTGGCTCTCCACTGGCCCCCAAAACGTGAGAACTGACCGTTTCTAAAGGCGAGGCTCCTGGCGAGCTGACCCCGGCCTCGCGGCCCGCCCCTGCCGCCCTGCAGATGTGAACGAGTGCGAGGCGGGGCGCTGCAGCCARGAGTGTGCCAACATCTACGGCTCCTACCAGTGCTACTGCCGCCAGGGCTACCAGCTGGCCGAGGACGGGCACACCTGCACAGGTGGGCCTCCCCCGCCCGTGGGCCTCCACCACCCCGTGGGCCTCCCTCCCCGGCCTCCGGGCTCTCAAAGCACTGCTCCAGGGCCGGGCGCCCAGGGCCTGCAGGGGTCTGTCGGGAGGTGCATGTTCCAGCCCCAGCCCTTCAGTCGCCTGCCGTGGTGTCTTGGGGAACTGCTGGGCCACTCTGACCTCAGGCTCCTCCTCTGTAACCGGGAGACGCCCCCCGGCCTCTCTGGTGAAGGATGGAGTCAGATCTGGAACGGAGGCTGCGGGGGCCCTTGCTCTGCGGCCCTGGCCGACTTTCTCCTGTCGCTGTCAGCGGCTGGGACCTGGGGGTGGGCTGGGGTCACCTGGGCCCACCTTCTCCCTGGCAGACATTGACGAGTGCGCTCAGGGCGCGGGCATCCTCTGCACCTTCCGCTGTCTCAACGTGCCCGGGAGCTACCAGTGCGCGTGCCCAGACCAGGGCTACACCATGATGGCCAACGGGAGGACCTGCAAGGGTGAGCTTGGCCCTGCCCTGCGGGGCTCAGGGGCTCCAGGCCACACAGGAAGGCTCAGCGCACGAGCAGAGAAAGGCCCGCGCCACCAGGGTGGTGTTAACCGAGGCCTAGGCTTAGGAGGAGGGAGGCAGGGTCTTGGGGTGCTCGATCCAGTTCAGAATCTCCCAGGCCTGGACCCCGACCTGGAAATGGAACAGGGATCCCGTGGGCTGTGTGTTTTTTCTTTTTAATACCAGGGATTAAAACTCAGGGCCCTCAACCCCTGAGCCACACGGTCTCCCTGAGCTGCTTAGGGCCTCCCTTAGGGCGGAGGCTGGCCTCCAACTTTCGATCCTCCTGACTCAGCCTCCCGAGCTGCTGGGATGACAGGCGTGGGCCACAGCACCCATGACCTTGCCCATTTTTGAGAGTAAAAACAAAGAACAGAAAGAATTGGAAGACACTTGGGTTTAGCCATCTTGGAGGAGACGCTCCGTGAAGGTGAGGCCGGGTCTCCCTTGCTCACCCCACTAGAGCAATGCCCAGCACACAGTAGGTGCTCAGCGAACATGTGACCGACAGCCGGATTGACAGACAGCTGGAGTCCGTGTACTTGGATACATTAGATTTCCTTCCATCTTTCCTCGTGCAAACACACACACACACACACACACACACACACACTTGGCCTTTTTATCTGCAGGTTCTTCGTCCTCAGATTCAACCAAATGTGGGTTAAACATATGAAAATGCGCCCGGCACAGGCACAGKGGTGCACGCCTGGAATCCCATCTGATCGGGAGGCCAAGGCAGGAGGATCGCAAGTTGGAGGCCAACCTCAGCAACTCAGCGAGACCCTGTCTCGAAATACAGCATAAACAGGGCTGGGGACGGGGCTCAGGGGTTAAACGTCTCTGGGTTCAATCCCCAGGACCAGTGTGGGAGGCCCAGGGCAGAGGCCAAGGAGCGGAGGAGGATCTGGCTTCCTGTGGTGACCTTGGCTGCCCAGCCTTAGCCACCCCTRCCCTGGCCTCGGGCCATGCTCCTCGCACTTGCCCGCGGCAGCCGTGGGGTGGACAGACGCCCCGTTCCCTGCAGGAGCCCTGCTGGCCAGCAGCCCGGGACAGAGTGGCCAGAGCTGGGGGTTGAGGCTCGTCCTTGCCCCCGTGGCCTGGGCGGTCTGCGGGTTCCCAGGACACTGGTCCCTGCCTCCTGGGCTGCCCTGGGTGTCACGGGAAGGTCAGGGTGGACTCTGCAGGGAGGTCGCAGTCATCGTCACCACCTTGTCACCACTGCCGGGAGGGACCAGTGTTGTTCCTGGCACCTGAGGGCACTTGGGTTCCTTGTGTTTGTCCAGGGGCTGACCAGGGGGCTCCCCCAGGCCCCGCCCGGCCCTCTCTGCCTTACTTAGAGGCAGGGCCTCGCCCAGCCGCTCCGGCCTCACCAAGTGGCTGAGGCTGGCTTTGAACTCACGGTCCTCCGGCCTCGGCCTCCTGAGCTGCTGGGCTGACCGGCTGCCCCACTGCCCGGTGGAGCCTGGATTGGACACCCACATGGCCCAGCCCCACTACTGACGCCGCCGAGTGACAGCAGGGACGGTGTCCCCTGGGTCTGAGCTGCCCACGCCCCGGGAGGCCAGGTCTGCTGGCAGAGCTGGGGGTGGACTGAGCCAGGGCAAGCTCTCGGGAAGTCACTGTGGAGCGCTCCAGGGGTCATCTGGGGACAGCCCCTGGGGCCTCCCAGGACTGTCCTTTCTGCACCAAGTGGCTGGGTGCCTGGGTCCGTCCATCCGTCTGTCTGTCTCACACACGCTGCTCTGAGCCTTTTCTGGGTCGGCATGTCTGTGGGTCTGTCTGGGCCTGTGAGCTGCAGAGCCCTGAGTGGCCCTCCCCACGCCCCTGTGGGTGCCGCAGAGCCCACGCGTGCGAGGAGGGGAGGGCGGAGGCGGGACAGCCACACAGCAGCCTTGGTGTGTGTCAGAGGGTGACAGATGGTGACAGTGGTTCAGGGACAAGCACGGGGTCGGGGCAGGGGGGACGGCATTGAGTAGCCTGGTGGGCCATCCTGCAGGAGGGACGTGGCACCCAAGGCCTGGGCGTGAGTGGGAGCCAGTGAGGGAAGATGCGGGGAAGCTGTCGTGACCACTGCAACGGCACGTGCAAAGGCCCGGGGGTCAGGTCAGGCCACTGGCTGTCCAGGTGTCCTGCAGGACCGTGGCCCCTGTGCAGGGTAGGGCGCAGAGGTGGCCAGACTCCGTGGTCGGTCTCAGGCTGGGTCYTGGGAGCCCCCTCACCGCCCCTCCTGTCCCCACAGACCTGGACGAATGTGCCCTGGGCACCCACAACTGCTCCGCGGCCGAGACCTGTTTCAACATCCAGGGCGGCTTCCGCTGCCTGCGCTTCACGTGTCCCCCCAACTACGTCCAAGTCTCCGAAATGTGAGTGCCCCCGAGTCTTGGCCTTGCGCCCCCGGCCCTGCGCTGATCCCGCGTTACCTGGCCAAGGAACGGGCCCTGCCGCGGTCACCTCCTGCCCATGGCCCCGACGCCGTGTCGGGTGCAAATGAAACGGCGCCCAGAGCGAGCAGCAGGGGACCAGAGAAGTCCACGCCCCCTGCCTCTGGCCCTGTGTCCCTCTCTCTCTGTCTCTGTGTCTCTCTGTCCCTCTGTCTCTTTCTCTGTCCCTCTGTCCCACTCTGTCTTTCTCTCTCTGTCTCTGTCCCTGTCCCCAACACATGGTCGGCAGCCTGAGTGACARAGGTCCCCAATGCTCCACACCCCGGGTGACAAAGGTCCACGGTCCCATTCTGTCTCTGGGGGCCGGAGCGGTGGCTGTGGCCCAGGCTCAGGGTCTCCTGGGGCTGCCGGGACTCCCTGGGGGCCGCACCGTCCCAGGGCTGGACGCGGCTCGGGTGGCTCTGGGTGGGAGGCCTCTCCAGGAGGCTGCATGGCCCTGGACATGCCCGATGCAGGCCATGAGGAGCGCAAGCCGCTGTCCTCTGGGAAGTGACAGCACATGACCTGTGCCCCTGGCCACACAGCCTTGCATTGCCAGAGCAGGGTGGGGAGAAGGCCAAGCAGGACATAGCTGGCAGCAGGGGTCACTAGGTGCCATGGGAAGAGGGAGCAAGTGGGAAGCAGAGGGACGAGAACAGGAGCCAGCCGGGCGGTGGCCTGGCTGCCATCCTAGCAGCTGSGGAGGCTGAGGCAGGAGGATGGCAAGTTGGAGGCCAGCCTCAGCAACTTGGGCCCTGACCAGCTCCGTGAGAGCCTGTCTCTCAATGAAAAGCAAACAGGGCTCGGGGGGCGAGAGCCGGGGTTCCCTCCTGCTGCAAAAACAGAGCACCCCGCGAACGCCCCCGGCTGCCTGCCCTGTGTCCCCCTGCGTCCTCGCTGACGCAGGCGCCGATGACCCGTCCCCACCCGCAGGAGGTGTGAGCGYGCGCACTGCCCCGACCCCGCCGAGTGCCAGGCGTCCCCCGCGCGCATYACGCACCACCAGCTCAGCCTGCAGACCGGGCTCCTGGTGCCCGCGCACATCTTCCGCATCGGGCCCGCRCCGGCCTTCGCGGGGGACACCATCTCGCTGGCCATCACCCGGGGCAACGAGGAGGGCTACTTCGTCACGCGCCGTCTCAACGCCTACACGGGGGTGGTGACCCTGCAGCGCCCGGTGCTGGAGCCGCGCGACTTCGCCCTGGACGTGGAGATGAAGCTGTGGCGCCAGGGCTCGGTGACCACCTTCCTGGTCAAGATGCACATCTTCTTCACCACCCTGGGCCCCTGAGCCCTGCTGCCTGCGCCACCTGCCACCCCAGAGTCCGCGGACTCAGTCTCCCCAGGTCCTGGCCTCTCCTGCGCCCGCCCAGCCCGGGAGGGAGGGAGCTGGTTATGGAGGCTCTCAGCCGCAGGGTGCAAGGTCAAGGTCACTGCGGGGCTGGAGGGCAAGGCCCCGATGCTGGACCCTGACTGATGCACACACCCCAAAGACAGTGACCACCTTGGGGCTTCAGGACTCCACTGGAGGGCCTGGCCCCAGAGCTGACATTCCATTTCCTGTTCCACTGTGATGAGTTCTGTCCTTTTTTTTTAAAAAAAAAAATCATTTTTAAAGTTTGTTTAATTATAAAAGTAGCCACGTTGTGAGGAACTGAGTAGCACGAAAGGATCATAAAGTTCGGAGTGACATGCCCCTTGGTCCCTTCTTTTCTGTTGAACTTGACAGTGGGCTCTGGACGTCACTCGTTCCCCCAGCTGGCCCAAGCTGTTGGGTAGTGGATCGGGTTCTTTTTTGGGGGGTGGCGGCTCCCAGGGTTTAAACCCAGGGAGGTTAACCCCTGAGCCCCGTCCCCAGCCCTTTTTAGTTTTTCTTTAGAGACAGGGTCTCCCTGAGTTTATCAGGGCCTTGCTAAGTGGCTGAGGCTGGCCTCCACCTTGCGATCCTCCTGCCTCAGCCTCCCGAGCCCCTGGGATGACTGGCGTACACCACTGCCCTTGGAAAGGGTTTCAGCCAGGATGTGACACTGAGAAATCTTACAGAAACTTTGGCCTCCCAGGTAAAGCTGTTCTCTGCAGAGGTTTTGCCCCCGTAGCCCCGAAGACCTCAGAGCTGCACCCGTTGCAAGAGGCATGCAGCTGCTCCCAGAGGTCCTCAGCTCGGGGTGGGGTCCTGGAAGTTCCCTCCCGTCCCGTTTCAGGATTTGAGCGACAGCCCCCTCTGCGGCTGCGCGGCTCCTTCCCGCAGCCCCGAGTTTGGGCATATCTGCGGGGCAATGGCGCGCCCTCGTGGCCACAGCGCCAGCCTGGCCGCTCTGCCGGGGCTCAGGGAGGGGTGGACAGGCAGGTGGCTACAGTAGCTCTCACTCCTAATGCCATCGTACCTGTCTCAACCTGTAGAGAGCACCCCACCAGGAGTGAACCCCAGAGTGACGGATGGCCTGTGGGTGGCCATGTGTGGTGTAGGCTCATCACTTGCAAAAGATGCGTCAGCCTGGGTGGGATGTTGGCGGGGAGAGGGGGACGGTGGCCATCCATTCATGGAGCAGAGGGTACAGGGGAGCTTCTTCTGTACCTTCCACGCAGTTTTGCTGTGCATCTAAAGTAGCTCCAAAAATGTTTATTAAAAAAACACCGGGCGCAGTGGCGCGCGCCTGTCAATCATCCCAGCAAATTGGGAGGCTGAGGCAGGAGGATCGCGAATTCAAAGCCAGCCTCCCCAACGCAGCGAGACTCTGTGTGTCTAAATAAAAATATATGCATATAAAAGGCGGGGGGCTCCACGGCCGAGCGCCCCTGCCCTGGACAGTCACTGCAACCAAGAGGAACTCGTGGGGGGCTCTGGAACCTTGGGGTGCTGCGCCACGGCGTGCGTCCTGGGCTTTCTGGAAAAGCCCTTTGGTGGCCCTGATGAAGCAGCAGGGCGGGTCGGGTGCGGTTCCAGGGTGCAGAGTGGGGCGATCCGTGCAGAGTCCCAGCAGCCGAGGACCCTGGGCGCCCACCCGGCTGGAGGCGCCACCCCAGGTCCCAGCCACGGCCAGTGCGCAGCGACCCCTGGCGGCGGCGCGCGGGATCGCTAGGGACCGCGCAGGCGCAGAGCGGCAGGGAGGCTGCCCCGGGCGGGGCGGGGCTGGAGTGGGGTTGCGCTTGGGAAGGGACATCGGGCGACATCTGCTGTGCCGTGTCATGTGTCGTATTGGGAACCACTCTTAGCAGTTCGCCGGCCACCATCGGCATCCACTGGAGCTCGGGAAGGTGCAGGCGACCAGGCGGTCCCAGGGGCCTGGGGCGGGGGGACACGTCGCACTGTCCAGATGGGTCTGCTGAGCACAGGACGTGTGGATCTAGACACCCGGGTGACAAATAGGCGCCACTCGGAGTCAGGCTGGAGCAGCAGGGAGACGGGCTTGTCCAAGCCCCAGGTAGGGGCTGCCGCTCCCTGGGCAAGGGGACGTGGGGACAGGAGCATGGGGACACCTAGCAGGTGCGCCGGCCCTGAGATTCTGTGTCCAGCCTAGTCCTTCTGGCCCTGGGGGGACACCTTGCCCAGGCCCCCTGGGGATGGCCAGGCGTCGGGGACCCTCTGCTTGCCTCCTGGGAGGTGACTGTGCTCAGCCGATGGCGTGGCCTTCTTGCCTGCCTTCCTGACCAGCCCATTTTACAGATGCGGAAACGGAGGCCCAGAGAGGTTGATTGTTCTGCCCAGGGCAGCTCAGCTTCCTTATCTGCCAGGTTAGCAGGTGACAGGGGTGTCTGCAGCCGGGCTGGCAGGGGAAGCCCCCCGCTGTGACCTGTCCCCTGGCACATTTTTCCTGAGGTCCCTGGCACACCCCTGCTGACCCTGCCCTGTCCAGCTCCGGCCGCCCTCAGGGGGTTGGCAGCTCCCTGCTGCGGTCCCCTGAGGGCCACCCTTCTGGGCAGTGAGTGAGGATGGATGCCCCCTCTGGGTCCCCAGTGCCCAGCACACAATGGCATGAGGGACGGCTGGTCTCTCCAGGGTTCCTGCAGCAAGCCCAGGCGCGGTCAGTTGGGGCTGGGTGGCCGTGGTGGCCGCCGCTGGGTGAGGGGTCCTTCTGGGGACCCCCATCTCACCAGCACCTGTGCCATCTGCTGCAGACCCCCGGGGGCTCCTTGAGGGTGCTTTGCTGTCCCTTGGACACAGACACCTGAGTGTTCCCGCTGGGCTCAGCCTTCTGTGTCTCACTGTCGTTTGTCCCTAAAGGTCACAGCAGGGTAGGGCGCATCCTTTCTCCTGGGCATTTATCAGGTCAGAAGCTCAGCGGGGGGGGGGGGGGAAGCATTTCTGAGCTTGTCACCGGGGTCACCAGCTGCTCAGGTGGAGACCTTTGGAAGCCTGATGCCCCTCTGTCACCCCCATATCCAGATCCTGCAGGATTTAGATGGGGTCCCAGAACATTCCAGAACCCCGGCTTCTTCCCTCCGTCTCCTTCCCGACACTCCAGAGCCTCATCACTTTCCTGCTCCTCTTGTTCCTGTCCCTGTCACCTCCAACTGGCCACCGTATTCACAAAGACCCCTCTCCTCTTACCTTTTGAAGCTTTCGTTTTGCGGGGGGGTACAAGGGACTGAACCAGGGGGCCCTCAACCCCTGAACCCCGTCCTTAGCCCTATTTTGCGTTTTATTGAGAGACAGGGTCTCCCTGAGTTGCTCAGGGTCTCACTTTGGCTGAGGCTGGCCTCCAACTGGCGATCCTCCAGCCTCAGCCTCCCAAGCTGCTGGTAGGACAGGCGTGGGTCACTGAGCCCGGGTCCTTTCTGTGGCTTTTGTAAGAGCAGATTTACCTGCTGGGAATATTTTATGCACTGAGGTGGGCGTCGATGGTCTGGGGGTCCCAGGAAACAGACCTTGGGGTGCGCTGGTGTCCTAAGATGGGGAACCTGGTGCAGCCGGTGGGAAGTGGGACTTGCAGAAACTGTCGGAGCCCAGGTCTCAGTTTCCCCGCCTGTGCCCCGAGGCCTGGCTGCTGTACCGGCCGTCGCTGATGGCCCTGTGGGGACCAGGAAGAGGCGTCACCACGGAAGCAGCGCGGGTCAGGAGGCATCTCTGCGCCACGGTGGCCCGGGGACCCCTTGCGCCGGCTGCAGGAGCTGCTTGAGGTTCCTGATTGTCCTGGGCAGTGACCACGACTTGGGGACCTCATGTTGCAAAGTCCCTTCCCGCCCCTCCCCGCGCTGGCAGCTGCTTCCCAGGTGCAAAGGGCGTTTCCAGAGCGCAGGGCCCGCGTCCTCGCCTCTGGTGGCCTCAGGAGCGGGTTCCTCCCCTTCTGCAGGTCCTGATTGCTGTCCTGTGGTCGGGCCCCAGGCTCTGGGCGCTCGGGGCGAAGCCTGTCCCCTGGCACATTTTCCTGGGGTCCCTGGCACACCTCTGGTGACCCTGCGCACCGCGCACCACCGCGCACCACCGCGCATCACCGGGACGGGGCCTCGCCAGGCGGGTGGGCGGGCGTCCCCCGCGGCCCTCGGAGTGACCGCGCAGGTGACAGGGCCTTGGCTCCCTCCCCAGGGCGATGGCCTCCCCAGCGCAGGGCCTCGGCCAGCGCCCCGGACCCGGGGCTGGGCGATCCCTTCCCTCCATCGGCCCTCGGCGCGCTGCAGCCGGTGACCTGGCCTGGAGCCTCGGGGACAGGAACGCGCGACCGGCCAGGAGCTGTCCCTGGCCAGCAGGTGGCGGGGCCCGGGCGCGTCCCTCGCGCTGCCGCCCTCCGCTGGCCCGGGCCATCCTGGGGCGCCCCGTGCTCCTCCCGCCGCCCCAGCTCCGCGCTGGAAGGACCTGCCCGCGCCCAAGGTCAGAGCCGCCCGCGGCCGCCAGGGGGCGCTCGCGCCGGGGACCTGCCCCGCCCCCGGCTCTGGAGCAGGTGATGGTCCCCTGAGCGGGGCCTGGGCTGGAGGGAGACGCCAGACCGGCCCCAGGGACCCTCCTCCGGGTGCCAGAGTCGGGGTAGCCCAGGGTCGGAGTCAGACTCTCCGCGTCTCCCAGCTGTGTGACCCTGGGCAAGTTCCTTAGCCTCTCTGTGCCTGGCTTCCTCCCCTGAGAGATTTGGCCATCGGAAGACCAGAGACTTGCAGCAGAGTGTCCCCCACAGGTCACCAGAAGCACCCAGGGGTCGGCTGGATTCGTCTTCTCTGCTTCTGGGAAGAAAAGGAAACAAGAGGGCCCCAACAGGTTGTGCCGTAGACTGGCAGTCTGTGCCAGGCCAGGGCCATGGCCTTGGGGACACGGACCAGCTGCATAGCGTGGGAAAGCCACTGAGCACTGGGACCTCAGTCTCCGTATCTGTAAAACAGGGTCATGGACGAATGCACAGGCTGATGTCCAGGATGGGATGTGGCACACAGTAAGTGCTCAATAAAGGCGATTGTGGCATACAGTAGGTGCTCAATAAAGGTAATTAGTGGCATATAGTAGTTGCTCAATAAAGGTGACTAGTGGTATACAGCAGGTACTCAGTAAAGGGGATTGTGGCATACAGTGAGTGCTCAGTAAAGGTGATTGTGGCATTCAGTAGGTGCTCAGTAAAGGTGATTAGCTGTCTGCAACCGGGCCAGGCTTTGCCCTTCCTCCTGGAAAGTTGCTGCACAGGGGACAGCAGCCCTCGGTGTCCTGGCTGTCCCCTGAGCCATCGGGTCCTTTCCCCTGCTGAGGCAGGAGGGTGCGCCATGCCT